ACCGAAGGCCCCCAGTGGCAGGGTTCGCATGGCGGCCTCGGGCCATTTCGGCACACCCCTCACGAGGATCGTGGCCCCCCGGGGAGCTCCACCGAAGGCGCCAGTGGCAGGGTTCGCATGGCGGCCTCGGGCCATTTCGGCACACCCCTCGCGAGGATCGTGGCCCCATAGGGAGCTCCAGTGGCTGCGTTCGCATGGCGGCCTCGGGCCATTTCGGCACACCCCTCACGAGGATCGTGGCCCCATAAGGGAGCTCACCGAAGGCCCCAGTGGCAAGGTTCGCATGGCGGCCTCGGGCCATTTCGGCACCCCCTCACGAGGATCGTGGCCCCATAGGGAGCTCCACGAAGGCGCCAGTGGCACGCATGGCGGATCGGCCATTTCGGCACACCCTCACGAGGATCGTGGCCCATAGGGAGCTCCACCGAAGGGCCCCAGTGGCAGGTTCGCATGGCGGCCTCGGGCCATTTCGGCACACCCCTCACGAGGATCGTGGCCAATGGGAGCTCCACCGAAGGCCCCCAGTGGCAGGGTTCGCATGGCGGCCTCGAGGCCATTTCGGCACACCCCTCACGAGGATCGTGGCCCCATAGGGAGCTCCACCGAAGGCCCCACTGGCAGGGTTCACACGGCGCCCTCGGGCATTTCGGCACACCCCTCGCGAGGACCGTGGCCCCATATGCAGTGGCGGCCACGGGCATTTCGGCACACCCCTCACGAGATCGCGGCCCATAGGAGCTCCACCGAAGGCACCCAGTGGCAGGATTCGCATGGCGGCCTCGGGCCATGTTCGGCACACCCCTCACGAGATCGTGGCCCATTGTTGTGCTGCTTCAACAACCGCGCCTGGGCGTCGTACTCCGCCTTCTCGACGTGCAACGCCACCTCCTCCTCATGGCTCTCAAAGCCCTCTCCTGCTTCTGCTCCTCGGTCAGAGGGACGCCGTCCTTGTCGTCGTCGGCGCCCGCGAAGACGGCCACGAACGTGTCCCTGAGCATGTCGGGCTCCGGCGGGAAGCCGTGGCCACATAGGGAGCGCGGGCGAAGATGGTATTCACAATTGCGGTATTCACAACTGCATATGGTTGGGTCCTTCGCCAAGCTAATTTCTGGATGTTTGCCTTCCCCCCCACTTCCCAAATTTTCCCATATTTTCTAAGGAATCGGCGATTAATGGTGTCTGTGTCTCTTTTTCCCCTCCTGACCCCTGCAGAGGGGCATGCCAGGCTCAGTCCTACACGGGGGGGGGCCCTGAAGGGGCCCCCTGTGGCGCCCCTTTGGGCCCCGGCTGGCTCCGAGAGGAGCCCCTGCAAGACCCTTTCCTCCCCCCCCCGTGGACGTCGCACCCCCCCCTACCATCAGGTCGGGCATGTCCCCCTCCAGGCGGATTTTGGACGACAAGACAAAAATATCAAGCAATTAGCCTGGCGAAGGACCCAACCATACGCAATTGTGGATACAGCAATTGTGAATACCATCTTCGCCCGCGCTCCCTATGTGGCCACGGCTTCCCGCCGGAGCCCGACATACTCGGGGACACGTTTGTGGCCGTCTTCGCGGGCGCCGACGACCACGAGGACGGCGCCCCCCTGACCGAAGAGCAGAAACAGGAAAGGGTTCTGAGAGCCATGAGGGAGACTGCCATTGGCGCCTTCGGTGGAGCTCCCTATGGGGCCACGATCCTCGTGAGGGGTGAGCCGAAATGGCCCGAGGCCGCCATGCGAACGCAGCCACTGGGGCCTTCGGTGGAGCTCCCTATGGGGCCACGATCCTCGTCAGGGGTGCGCTGAAATGGCCCGAGGCCGCCATGCGAAACCTGCCACTGGGGCCTTCGATGGAGCTCCCTATGGGGCCACGATCCTCGTGAGGGGTGTGCCCAAATGGGGCGGGGCCGTCATGCGAACGCTGCCACTGGGGCCTTCGGTGGAGCTCCCTTATGGGGCCACGATCCTCGTGAGGGGTGTGCCGAAATGGCCCAGGCCGCCATGCGAACGCTGCCACTGGGGCCTTCGGTGGAGCTCCCGATGGGGCCACGATCCTCGTGAGTGGTGTGCCGAAATGGCCCAGGCCGCCATGCGAACGCTGCCACTGGAGCCTTCGGTGGAGCTCCCTTGGGGCCACGATCCTCGTGAGGGGTGTGCCGAAATGGCCCCGGGCCGCCATGCGAACGCTGCCACTGGCGCCTTCGGTGGAGCTCCCTATGGGGCCACGATCCTCGTGAGGGGTGCGCCGCAATGGGGCGGGGCCGCCATGCGAACGCTGCCACTGGCGCCTTCGGTGGAGCTCCCTGTGGGGCCACGATCCTCGTGAGGGGTGCGCCAAAATGGGGCGGGGCCACCATGCGAACGCTGCCACTGGGGCCTTCGGTGGAGCTCCCTATGGGGCCACGATCCTTGTGAGGGGTCCACCAAAATGGGGCGGGGCCACCATGCGAACGCAGCCACTGGGGCCTTCGGTGGAGCTCCCTATGGGGCCACGATCCTCGTGAGGGGTGTGCCGAAATGGCCCGAGGCCGCCATGCGAACGCAGCCACTGGGGCCTTCGATGGAGCTCCCTATGGGGCCACGATCCTCGTGAGGGGTGTGCCGAAATGGGGTGGGGCCGCCATGCGAACGCTGCCACTGGGGCCTTCGGTGGAGCTCCCTTATGGGGCCACGATCCTCGTGAAGGGTGTGCCGAAATGGCCCGGGCCGCCATGCGAACGCTGCCACTGGGGCCTTCGGTGGAGCTCCCTATGGGGCCACGATCCTCGTGAGGAGTGCGCCGAAATGGGGCGGGGCCGCCATGCGAACGCAGCCACTGGAGCCTTCAGTGGACCTCCCTATGGGGCCACGGAACGCTGTACTGGGTGGGTGAAACGCAGGGAGGAAGGGGGAGGAGGGGGAGGAGGAGGAGGCAAGCTAGGTGCGCTCGCGTCATATCTGACGTCCTACCCCACCCTCCCATCCTTTCCATGGCGCTGATTTTCTCTAATCCGCGGGACGCGTGGTCGTAGCGGACCTGTGGCTCCGCGCGCGCGTGCGGTATGGGTGGTGGTGGTGGGTGGTGCACGTGCGTGGCGGTGCTGCGTGGTGTGCGTGGTTGTCGTGTGGTGTGGTGGTGGTAGGGTGGGTGGTGGTGGTGGTGGTGGTGGTGGTGGTGATGGGTGGTGTGATGTAGGTGGTGGTGGTGGTGGTGGTGGTGGTGGTGGTGCTGGTGGTGGTGTTGGACTTGGTGCTTGGTGCTGGTGGTGGTTGTGGTTTGGTGGTGGTGGGTTGTGGTGGTGGTGGTGGCGGTGCTGGTGGTGGTGGTGGTGGTACTGGTGCTGGTGCTGGTGGTGGTGGTGGTGGTGTTGGATACTGGTGTGGGTGATGGTGGTGGTGGTGGTTGGTGGTGGTGTGGTATGTGGTGGTGGTGGTGGTGGTGGTGGTGGTGGTGTGGTGCGGCGCGGTGGGTGGCGGGCGTGATGGATGGCGCGCGAGAAAAAGGCCCGCGCTGGGGCGAGAACGCCATCCTGAACGACGGAGGCCAAACACCGATCCGAAAATGAGGCCCACGCTGCAGCGGGAGCACGATTCGGAACGATTCGGGAGCAGAAATGAGGCCGGCGCCTCAACGAGAGCAGCATTTTGGGAAAAAATGACGCCGGCGCCTCAGCGAGAGTCGTTTCCCGGGATTTCCCGGGAATCCTGTGTGTAAAAAAACAGTACGCGGAGGGTGCGCGGCCATCACCCGGACGCCATCAGGGGAAGAGGGGAGTATTTTTCATATTGAGTAATTGTGGAAGGGCAAGCTAGGTGCGCTCGCGTCATATCTGACGTCCTACCCCTCCCTCCCATCCCTTTCCATGGCGCTGATTTTCTTTATCCGCGGACGCGTGTCGTAGCGGACCTGTGGCTCCGCGCGCGTGCGTAGTGGGTGGTGGTGCGCGTGCGTGCGTGCGTGCGTGCGTGCGTGTGTGGTGGTGGTGTGGTGGTGGTGGTGGTGGTGGTGGTGGTGCGTGGTGGTGGTGGTGGTGGTGGTGGTGGTGGTGGGGTGGTGGTGGTGGTGGTGGTGGTGGTGGTGCGGCGCGGTGGTGGCGGGCGGATGGGCGCGCGAGAAAGAGGCCCGCGCTGGGGCGAGAACGCCATCCTGAACGACGGAGGCCAAACACCGATCCGAAAATGAGGCCCACGCTGCAGCGGGAGCACGATTCGGAACGATTCGGGAGCAAAAATGAGGCCGGCGCCATCAGCGAGAGCAGCATTTTGAAAAAAACGCAGGCGAAAACCCGTTTCCCGGGAATCCGGTATGTAAAAAACAGTACGCGGAGGGTGTTCGGCGATCACCCAACCGCCATCAGGGGAAGGGGGAAAGTATTTTCATATCGAGTACGCGGGCCACCGTCTCTTCAAAACGAGGACCCAACACCACAGGATGGTTGGGAACAACAAAAAACAACAATTCAGAACCGTTTTTTTTTAATGTTTGCAACATCGTCCCCCGACAATGCTTGTTTTTACTGTTCTTGAATGTTCCTCCTGGAGAGGGACAGGCCCGACCTAACACCACCGCCCGCCCGACTGGACTCGCTTGCTCCATGGGGTCCCCCAGCTTTCGGAGCAAGCCTCGGGTCTCCGCAGGCGGCCTCTCGGGACGATCTGGGCCCCCCCCCTGGCCGACGCTCTCGGCGAGGCGCACCTGCTGCACCGCACCCCGAGGCTGGGAAACTGCTGGCAGCCGCCGGCCACATCTGAAAATCTCGAGGCCCTCGCCTAATTGCACGGCGATCCTCTCCCTCAGGAGCCGCTTGCTTCATGAGAGGCCTCCCAGAGGGGGTCCGAGTAGATGAGGTCGGATGATCGCGCCGCATCGCCGATGCATCGACGGTGCATCGGCGACGTCGGCGGTGCGTCGGCAACGCCGGATTGGAGAGCATCGGACTGCACATCAAGCCGCATCGCCGATGCATCGGCGATGCGGCGCGATCCTGCGACCCTATCTTCACGGACCCCATCTGGGTGGCCTCGATTCACGGTGGACCTGCGCGGCGGGCACCAGCGTGGACAGCAGCTCGCGGCGGCGCTTTCGGGCCTTGGGCGCCGCAGCGCCCGCGGCATCCGCCGGCGCACCCACCTCCACGTCCTGCTGCTCCACTGGCATGTACCCGCCTGGCAGCGGCCCGACGAGCGAGGACGGAGAGCGCAGAACCCTCTTCGGCCGTCCGGGCATGCGCGCGGCCTCGCGGGCGCGCCCAGGGTCCACGTGGTCGCCTGGCTTCCTGCCCATCGGAAGCGAGGGGCTCGGCGGCGGGTCCGGGCGGTGGCCATCCCCGAGCTCCCCAGGCCGGTGCTCGAGCCGAGCCGAGACGGCTGAGGCAGGATATGGGCGAGGAGCGGCACGCCGCCTCGAGGCCGAGATGCGGCCTGACGGCGAGGCAGAGAGATGCGCGGGCAGATCGCCGACGCCGAACAGCAAGTCCCAGAAGCGCGAGCCCGGCGTCAGAACACGAGGGCCTCGAGCCGAAGAGAGCGAGGCAGAGCCTCCCCCACACACTAAAAGTCGGCTACACGCAAGAGCAACCCTGGGCAAGAGTGACCTTTGGTGCGCGGCTTTTGGGGGGCCGCGGGGGGGCCAAACACAAGCGCGCAAGACGCCACGGCCGCCTCGCGTTCGGCGATCGGGGACCCCCAATGTGCCCGCACCAAAGGTCACTCCGGCGAAGGGTCTCTCTTACGTCTAGCCGAACAAAAAGCTCGGCACCGCGGCGCGCGGCCGGGCGACACCGGGAGCGCCGCGGCGGCGGGCTGCCGGGGCCGGGGGGGGGCGCCGGAGTCCTCGCAGCAGAGCCCCGGTGGGCGGGGCCCGCTGCGAGTGGCTCTGCTCTGCGCGGGGGCCCCACGGCGCCCACGTCCGTCCGCGCGCCCGCGGCCGGCGCGAGGCCCCGCGCGAGGGCGGCCGCGCCGTCGTCGGCGCGGCGCCGCTGCGCCGAAGACAGGGGGCGGCCGCGCCGTCGGAGCGCCGGGCGCCCGGCGCGGCGTCCTGCGCGGGCCACCGGCAGGGCGGCGCCGTCGGCCCCGGCCGCTCGACTGGCAGCAGGCGGGCCTGGCGAGTCGAGGCGGGGAGCCATTGCCCACCAACCCCTGTGCGGACCCGTCGGCCTCACCGCACACGGGGGGGCGCGAGGCGACTCCCACCAGGACTTGAGGGCGTGAGCAGCTCAGGGCGTTTCCTCCTCCAGCCCCCCCGTCTTCTCATTCTTGGATGGGGTCAATCAATGTTCCATACTTCTACACACACCCTCCCCCAGACGACCAACAGCCATCCCGGACACATGCCGACCTCCCCCACCATTCCTAACGGGATGAACAGCACAAAATATACGTGTCCTCTGAATCTGAAGCATGCGCGGGCGCCCCGCGACGACTTTGCATTGGTTCTTGGCAGGGACGGCGACGGTGCCCTCATATTGTTTGCTGCGAACAGGCCAGCCATCCCCTTCTTCATCCGCCTATTCCTCCTCCTCCTCCCCCTCACCTCCTCCTCCTCCCTCCTCCTCCCCTCCCCTCTCCTCCTCCTCCTCCTCCTCCTCCTCCTCTCTCCTCTCCTCCTCCTCCTCCTCCTCCTCCCTCCTCCTCCTCCTCCTCCGTCTCCTCCTCCGACTCCATCCTCCCCTCGTGGGGTATGACAGCTCCCCCAACCCGTAATTCCACTGCGTATTCCTCCACATACATGACCAGGGCAACTCGCCTGGGCGTCGGTTTCTGGATGGGCTGGTGGGGTTGCGCGAAGCGTCTGGAAGAGTCATGCGCGAACGCCACGGCTATGCCGAAGGGCGAGAGGACGAATTGGCGGCGCGCACAAGGGGGGTAGGGGGAGGGGGGAAGGCTTCGTAGAAGCAACCCTGCTTCTTAGAAGGTGTCGGCCTTACACCTATACACAAGGCCCGCACCTTCTAAGAAGCAGGGGTGTTTCTAAGGAGCCTTCCCCCCTCCCCCTACCCCCCTCTGCGCGCGGCCGAACGAAGCGGAAGTGACTGGGACCTCCGAGGGGCACGCGCCACTGGCATCTGCAGAGTCGTTGGGCGCGGCTCGCACGCGCATGAGCGCGCACGGGTAGGAGGACGCCAAATATACACCAACACCGACCTCGGCAAGGCCCATTCCCTGGACCCAGGATCTGAGCAGACGCCCTCCTGGCTTGGCCGGGAAGGCGCGGAATCCAATCCTGGGAGAAGGACGAGCTTCCTAAACATAAACGGCTGGAGGCCCGCGTGGATTTGTTGGATCCGCGCTGGGCCCCGCTCACTGGCGCGCGGAGCGCGCCAGGGGCGGCGCTGGAGGCGCCGCCAGGGGGGTTCTGCTCCGAAGTCCTCGGCCCGACAGTAGCCTGGCGAGGATCGGCGTCGGTGTATGGCTGGCGTTTGGTCGGGCGTGTCCTCCTACAAGCGGCTCTTGGACGGAAGAAAGCAATACTCGACAACAAGTGAAGAATACATCGCCGTGACGAAAGTTTTTCAATTTGCCTTTTGGAATGACGCGCTCGTGCGGAATAGTTCGGAGTAGCTTTACTAAAAACTACTCCGCGCACAATCGCATCCCCTTCGATAATGTATTTGGTTTGGCGCGGAGTAGTTTCCAATGCCGTTTTGGGGTAGCAAAGCTATTAACGTATCTGGGATCGGAAATTGTCGAATCATCGGCACCAGACGATATCTTAATAATTACGTTTGAATCTTCCGCCTGTCGAGCCGAGCGAGACGAGGACGCCGCGGCCCGCCCCCCATCGCCGACTCGGGCCAAGGCTTGGAGGACGAGGAGGAGGAGGGAGGAGGAGGAGGAGGAGGCGGAGGAGGAGGAGTGAGTAAGCGAGAACAGTCGCGAAGCGAAGATTCGAAAACAAACGCCCCCCCCTGGACTTGTCGAAGAGAACGACGGACAGGTAGGAGACGCACTTCATTCCGTACAGCTGGCAGAACAGAAGCCCGTGGAACACCGAGGCGATACCGCGGATGGGTCCCTCCAAAACATTGACAGTCGGTTCACCCCTTCAACACCACCAGACGAGGAGGAGGAGGAGGAGGAGGAGGAGGTTGAGGAGTACGAGGAGGACGAGGAGGAGGAGGAGGAGGAGGAGGAGGAGGAGGATTCCGCGTCTACTCCAACTTAGCGCTGCACCTCCTCATCACATGAGTGGCCCGGCCGCTCCTCCTCTCCCCCCCCCTTCCTGGGCCTGCCCCTCCTTCCTCCCCCCCTTCCGGGAAGGGCGGGCCCGCCCCGGCCCCGGCCGCGCCCGCGCGCGTCGGGCGCGTGGCGCGCCCCGCGGGTGACGCCGGACAGCGCTGCGCAAGTAAGTAAGTAAGTCAGTAAGCAGGTAAGTAAGTAAGGAAGGAGGAGGAGGAGGAGGAGGAGGAGGAGGAGGGGAACGAGGAGGAGGAGGAGGAGGAGGAGTTGGAGTTGGAGTCCCTGAACGTAGTCCTTATCACAACTTGCATAGACCCCTTCGGGGCTTTACGCGCTGACTCGGCTTCGCTGTAAGCCTTGGGCCACGGGCCAGGCAACACGACGCACATGCTCTCTCCGAAATGGGGTGGGGTGGGCTTGCACACCTTCGCAAAACCGAACAACTGCTGATCCACATACATCCCACAGCTCGGGAGGAAGAGGAGGAGGAGGAGGCGGAGGAGGAGGAGGACGTGCAAGGAGGAGGAGGAGGAGAAGGAGAAAAAGGAAGGAGGAGGAGGAGGAAGAGGAGGAGAGGAAGAGGAGAAGGAGAAGGAGGAAGATGAGGAGGAGGAAGAGGAGAAGGAGAAGGAGGAAGAGTGGGAGGAGGAGGAGGAGGAGGAGCAAGGCAGGGGAGGAGTAGGAGGATGAGGAGGAGGAGGGAGGACGACGACGACGACGACGAGCTGGCTCGCACGCGTGGGCAGCGCCGCCCGTCCTGTCCGCCATCGACGACACCGTGTCCGTGGCGCTCGCGGGCTCCGCCCAGTCCTCGCCGGGCGCGCCGCGCGGCCGGGCGTGCGCCCCCGGCGTGCCCTGGGGGATGCGCTGGGTCGGTGGCGAGCCCGGGGGCCCACACCCCCTCCTCCTCCTCCTCCTCCTCCTCCTCCTCCCCCTCCTCCTCCTCCTCCTCCTCCTCCTCCGCCTCCTCCTCCTCCGCCTCCTCCCGCCTCCTCCTCCGCCTCCTCCTCCTCCTCCGCCTCCTCCTCCTCCTCCTCCTCCTCCTCCTCCTCCGCCCTCCTCCTCCTCCTCCGCCTCCGCCTCCTCCTCCGCCTCCTCCTCCCTCCCCCTCCTCCCCCTCCTCCCCCTCCCCCGTCGAGTCATGAAAAAATCACGGCGGGAGGTGTTTCACGTTTTTCGGCCCCTGGGGGCCCTTCCCTGGCCTCGGGGCCATCAAGGCACGACTGCGGTCCCAGGGAACAGGTCGAGACCTCTGGGGGTCGACGTCAGGAACAAATCATGACGTCGGGCGTCTAGGGGGAAGTGGGAAGGGGCGGGCCTTCTCAGAAGGCTCGGAAGTCACCGGGCCTTCTGAAACTGTCCTACGCCTTCCCCGGGGACACAGAAAACTTCTCTCTGAAGGCGCGCGCGCGGGCTCCTGACACGTCCCCGCCTTCTGAGGACTTATCCTTCTCACTTCCCCCCCTCGCGCGCCGCCGAGCTAGGAGGTTGCAAAGTTCGAGGTTCGAGGCTTGAGGTGCGAAGGCTCGAGATTCGAGCGCCTCGCCGAGGGCGTTCTGGGGGCGCCCGGATCGTCCCGAAGGCCGCCAGGGGCCCGAAATTTTTGACCCGGAAGCCACCAGGGGGCCGGCTCGAAGGAAGCATCGAGCTGGAATCGGCGCTATATCACCGACAGGTCGGCACAGGGCCGCCACTCGGTGAGGACGGGGCGATAGGAGAGGTCGATGCGTCCCCCCTCTGAGCCTCTCCCCCCCGAAAGTTGCCCCCGAGAGCGAGCCTGTAGGCGAGAGTCTCTGGATGACCTCTGGTGCGCGGCTCCAGGGTAAGGAAATGAACTTTCTACACCGATGCTGTTTTCCGGTCCCGCACTGAGGATCGCACAGGAAAACGTATTCTGGTGCATACGGGATCCTGGTGTGTATATTTTTCGCTGTTTCCCTGAGACAAAGGGGAAACAAGTATACACCACACCACCCCGACGTCGTCCCCGACCCTCAAAAAAAGTCCTAGGATTGAAAAGCAGCCCCGCCACTGGTAATTTATATGTTCCGGTTTCCGGCAGGGGGCCGTGGGGCGAGCACATCTCCGAGCGCGCAGAGCGGACCCCTGTGGGCCCGCACCACGTGCCACTGCGGCGAGAGGCCGCTCTCACACGTAGCCGAGCAGTGG